TTTACAGTGTGTGTACATCTTAATGAGGCGCACCCAATAAAAATATGAAAAATAATAATCCGTAAAATATAAATTGACCAAAATACCCATGACAATTTATGGGGGAATTTTGATCAATTTATATTTTACGAATTATTTTTTTCATATTTTTATTAAGTGTGTCTCACTAGGATGTACACACTCCAAATTTCAAGTAATTTGGATTTGTAAAAAAAAAATGAAAAATGAAATACTATCGGACAACTATGATGGTGCGATGAAGTTTGGATAGTGATCAGGGTAGGCGAAATCACTGCTCATTTACACCTATAGATATTGGGAAGAGTTTTCCTGTTTTTATTTTGAGAAACGATTCTATAGGACCCTCCCCCACCCAATTGTATATGATCCCTGTAAATAGTAGTGAAATTGTGTGCGAATCTCGAGATCAAATTGGTGGCTTACCTGCTATCGGCTTCCCATCAAGTTGCCGGTGTTTTCCTTTGTCTATCTCTCTCTCTAGTACTCTTTTGAAACTCTTGCTCACCTCTGTGAAATCTCTGCCCCAACTTGCTCTCTCCCACTCTCTCTCTGTAAAGTACTATTTTACTTAAGGCAAACAAAGGCAGCCCGCTCTCTTCTATGCGAAACTTTCTGTCCCAAGCCCTAGCAGAGTTACCACAGTTGTAGAGGCCGTTCTATTTCATGCTAAAGTGGAAGATCTTGGTCTCTTTATTTCAAATTGGGGATTTGATCCATTGCTATTTTTTTGTATCACAAGGTTTAAATGTGATCTCTCTAGCAAGAATTGGGTTTTTTCATTTGGCTTCTCCCTCTCTACCTGAATCTCTTTTTTTCAAATGAATCAATACAAGAGATGGAGTTCATTTGCTTGATTGAGGTGGGAGATTTGGGGGATCAATTCACTGTCATTGGGTTTTTCTTCATTTGGTTTTTCTCTTGCTCTCTCTTTCTCTAGGTTAATTTCAATTTGCAATTAAGTTTTTCCTTTTTCCTTTTTTTTTTTTTTCAAATTTCAAAGGCAAAAAGATATTTGCAGGATTGGCGGGAAAATGGGCGTGAGCGTTCTAAATTTCTCTCTCTAATGCGAGTGTTTCTCCATCTCTCTCTATTCCCCATATGAGTGTTTTTGCCATTGCCCTCTTTCTCTAACTCTCTCTGTCTCTCTATTTCTCTTTATCTCTACGGAGAGGGCAATCATTAGCAATGCTTTTTACTTTATAACATGATGGAACATGCCACTCTTTTTGTTTTTGCTCTCAAGTAAAATTGTAATTGCATCCTCTAATATTTCTTTATTCTCAATTGCTTTCTTTTTCATCTAGTGACATGTATTAAATCACTTTCATAAAGCCCTTGTCGTCCATACCCTTTGATATTGATTTTTTTTCCTTTTCTATATCGAACTTGTTATTACTGTGGTGGTAAAGAATATGACACATGATAAGTCATTTTTGTCATTCTCATTCCATGTTGCTGAGCCAGAAAGAGACACGAAAAAGTTATAAGGTTTCCTCCTTACCATAGAGGCAACCATTGAGGATCATTCCTTATGGTATGGTGCCAATGCGGAAGAAATCAATAGTTCTATCAAGGTAATGAGTGCTTCATAATTGATTATTTTTTTGTTCATGTTGAAATCTGACGTATCTTTTTTTGCTTGTGTTGAAGTCTGACCAATCATTTGAATGGCAACGGGCACCTGTGAAAAGTGTACATGAACTAGTGGAATCACATGCAAAAGGGAGCAGTAATGATGGCTCTAACGAGTTTGGTATTATAAACACTTGCAGTGAGGAAGATAAACATGGAAGATTGGGAAGCTATCCAAACGAAGGAAATATTGCCTATGAACCATTTGTGGGTATGGAATTTTCATCTGAGGAAGAAGCAAAATTATTTTATAATGAATATGCGAGGTGAATGGGATTTAGCATGCTCATGGGAAATACAAAAAAACACAACATGAAAGGGTCATGCGCTATTGTAAATTTCTATGTTCAAGAGAAGGATTTCGTTCAAGGAAAGTTTATAGTGGAAAACCTACTCGGAAGGTACCACACACAAGAGTTGGTTGCAAAGTAATGATAAAAATATGTAAGAAAGGTATTAACAAGTGGGTTGTTACACGGTTCACCTCTTACTCTACATCAACTTTGAACACAAAACTACCTATGGAGAAATAAGCAGCAGATGCTTATACCAGGACAGTGTTCCTTAAGTTTCAAAATGAACTGGATGAAGTGATATCAATTGTGGTAAAAAAAATTGAGGAGGATGGCTTAATCAATACATACAAGTTGACAACATATGAAAAAAAGAGCAAAGAATATAGTTGTATTTGATGCCTCTAAAATTGAAGCAACTTGTGGCTGTAAAATGTTTGAGTTTTTCGGGTTTCTTTGTAAACATATATTAGCAGTTTTCCATCGTGAGCATGTTCAATAAATTCTATCCCAATACATTTTGAAGCGATGGACAAGGAATGCCAAGAAATGGACTTTTTAGTAAATGAGAAAGGGATTTTAATAAATGAGCATAGAAAAGGAGCGATGGGAAATTCCATGGATTCTCTATTCTCACGATTCAACTATTTAAGTCGCAAAGCAATTAACCTTGCAGAGATTGAGGCGAAATCTGCACGTGTTTTTTCTGTGGTGTTGTTAAGATTTCAAAAATTGAGGCAAAGAGCTATCCATGAGAAAAGTATTGAAAATGCATCACAAGTTTGCCCTATGGACAATGAAAGTAACTTGGGAATAGCTATGACAACAAGTGAAGTAAATCAATATTGTTCAGCAAGTAATGTTATACTGCAAAATCTATTACTGACAATAACAAAGGGCCACCATTTGGCGATAAGAATCAAATAACCAGCAAAAAAGCCGTTGTGAAAGCTTGTTACATGCCGTATGTGCAACAAAGTGGGGCATAATTCGCATACTTGTTCATTGTCAAAAAGTAGTGATTCACAACTTACAGGGGTAAGATATTTGATTATTTTGTACTTGTACTCTCTCTATCTACCTTCTTCTTACTTTCACCAGTTGTATGAAAAGTTATTTTGTTTTCTAACTTACTTTACAAATTTCAGTGATAGATTCCATGTACACAGATCAATCCTCGAATGCTATGAATCAAGATTATAGTGGTGCCTTTTAGGTAGGCTTTTATTATTATGGTACTCTTCCCAATGGCATACGTGCAAGCTAGTTAAATATATTTTGTTACATATAATCATTTCTTTTAAATATATCTATGATTTATTCTTGCCATGAAATTTGGAGCCCCTTAGTGACGATTTTTTTTTACTCTTTACTTGCAGTTTGATGCAACCACAACATTTTGTTACCACCTTTGTGGATGAGTCCCACTTTTGTTATGGAACTACTCATTGGTATAGCCAACTCAGCATCCGATCCTTTCTCTAAAGAGGGAGCCACACAAAGCAACAAATATGAGATATTTTTTAGTACCTTTTTTAGCACATGGTCCCCCCATTTTTTGTATATTAACTTCTTGATTATGTTTTGGATGTAAAGTAGTTTTTGAGC